TATTCTTGAGAGTACTTTTGTCAGCAAAGCCAATAACAACCATGAAAATATGCCAACAGTGCATGATCGGACATGCTTGGGTCTGAGGTTATTGAGGCATGCAGAGGGGCGTAAAGTAGTGCAAATTAGAGTCACATGTCCCACATGCTGTCACTTTTTTTTTTTTTACAAACAAGTTAGTTGTTTGGTTACTAGGAGGGTCCTTGTTTAATGTTAGACTGAATGTGTGTCCCTGAACCGGGTACTGAATGTAACACTGTCACTAAAACTTTCCTCAGAAGCCCTTTTGTTTTGGACAAATACAGAGCTATCTCATGACCACGTATTCATGGTCCCCCAGTGGTGAGTTGTGACTGGGATCAGGCAGACTGTGAAAACAAATGGAAAGAAAAAGTACCCTTCTCATCTTTCACATGCTTTTAAATCACCACTGATTCATCAAACTTTTAAGAGTGAACAAACAGCAAAATTATGCTTAAAGACACTTTAGTAGTCTTAGATTGTGAGTTTTTTCTGGTGAGCTGCACAGTCAACCTAAGTCCATGACAAATACTTTTATCAGCATTTAGTCTACAGTATAAAGCGAGTGCAGATGATAATATACTATCAGAGACTTCTGCTTATTTGAGTCGCATGCAGAACAACCACAGGAAGTGCAAAATGGGACACAAATGCGGATACAGTATCATGTTGCAACCACAGCTACTTGAATGTGACTGCAGTCATAACTGTGAAAGCAACATAAAGATGCAGTCTCCTGTAGGAACAGATAAGATTCCAAACTCAGCAGAGTTTTGCAAATACAACACATTGAAATGTAACATTTTGAAGAATGCATCAGACCTGTATTTTATGTATTATAAACCTCCCACCTCATTTTCCGATAGTAACCTATGCCTCGTACATTTGAATGCTAAGACCTTAATTTGACTATGATGACAGTTACAGCAGTGCGTAACTATTTATTGAGGTCAAACTCATGAACAGTGTCAATGATATCAGCCAGATGGTAAATAGCCAACAGAGAAATAATTTCCGTGACTCATTTCCACACAGGAACTCGTCTATGTTTTTCACGTTTTTCAAGTTGTATTCCTTCGTGTTTAAAAACTAATTTGATGTCACAACACCATTTCTTTCTTCTTTATTTCTTATTTTCTCTATCTATTGGGATCCCCCTCAAACCCAGCATAAGCTTTGGTTTCTTTCCTGGGGTCTACATATAAAAAGTATTTTATAAGTTGTGGATGACAGAACTTATATTAGTGCTATATGTCTGTGCAAAGCCGTCATTGTACTGTGGATGTTTTGTCTCGTAATAATCTCTATGATTAATCAAATTTGAGTGATTCAAAGCACACCATTCATTCTCTCAATTATGATGAACTCTCTGCCTGAAAAAATGCCACAGCTAATTACAGCTGCGGCTATTTTTATCTCTGTGTGCTACTGAAAATCTGGTGATGAGGTCATTTCTGGTTACACAGAGCAGTAGGGACAATATTGGTGCATTTGGGATTAAATAACTCTAGTTCAGAGATACTGTACAGTTTTCTGTTTAGCTTACAAGATTACTATTTTTTTTTTTTTTACCAACAAATTATTTAAAGCATGCTTGCAATCTTCCTTTTTTTGCAAAGCTTTCTGTTACATATCTGACAATTATGGGTTTACCTCAGTTATATTGCTATTTGCTAATGTGTAATTGTTTTGTAATTTCAGCCTACAGCAGTGGACTGACAAAGAATAAACCTCTGGCTTCTCTTGTTCTGCTTCACAGAAATGTCCCTCCATCTGAAAACAAGAGCAACTTGCAATCTCTAAATGACAGAAGCTGATTCCTGTGACCTGATCTCTGAGTTGAAGCTATCTCTCAGGAAGGCCACCCTTTATCAGACTCAAACCATTTGTCATTTGGGAAAGCTTGTCCTCCCCTTATCTGAGGGGAAGCCACTGAGTCAATGGCATTGTGTCTTGGACAAGTATTCAGCAAAGACAAAACATTCAGGCCAAGGAAGCGGTTTGAACCGGGCACCCAGCGATTTGAACTCTACAAGAAGGCGCAGGCCTCGCTCAAGTCCGGCCTGGACCTGAGGAAGGTGGTGCAGCTGCCGGAGGGAGAGAACCACAACGACTGGATAGCTGTTCATGTGGTGGATTTCTTCAACAGGATCAACTTGATCTACGGCACGATGAGCGAGTTCTGCACCGAGCGGACGTGTCCCATCATGTCGGGGGGGCTTAGGTATGAGTACAGGTGGCAGGATGGAGACGACTACAAGAAGCCCACCAAGCTGCCTGCTCTCAAGTACATGAACCTGCTAATGGACTGGATAGAGTCTCTTATCAATGATGAGGATATCTTCCCCACCAGAGTAGGTGTGTGAAGAGTCTACAAATAACCATTATTGAGTGTGTAACCTAATGCGAGATTGATTGCTGACTGCACGATGATGTTGTGTGTCAGCCTGGAGTGCAGGAGTGTTCCCTGTCATTAACATTTTGGATGGGATCATCAAGTTCAAGCAGAGGTTAATTAAAGAGTGGGACTGACATTTAGAGGAGATTGAACAGGATGATTGTGGTGTTATTTTATATAAGCACCAGATCTGACAATCAAATTTTATTATTAGGTAGTTTGAATTTGTATTCATAATCCATAAATTAGCCCAGTAGTTAGCACCAAAAGCGAAATAGCACTCAGTTTGAACTAATGAAGTTGTTTATTTTCTGTTCATTTTGCACAATATTTTTTCTGAGAATTAGGGTTACCGTTCACAGTGTGCAGGTCACATAACATAGATTTTGTCTTCTTGACCCTTACCAGGACTCGATATAGGGAAAGAAAAAGATGAATATGTCTATCATTAGATGCCAAATAATGCTGCATAGTGCAGCAGCTTTGTTCCCCAACTTTTTTTTGTCTTGCATACCTCAACAGGCCTTTCATAAGGCATCAACTACGCCTGGGTCATTTATCCCTTACAAGGGAATTTGTTGATATTTTTCCATTGCTGGAAAAACACACTGACTTAAGTGACTGCTCTAACTAAAAACCCATCAACAACCTTCCTCTTTCATCACTTTGGAATAGATGCCAATTTCTCTGTAACTCCAGTGTAGCAAGCAGTTAACTTTAAGCAACTATAGCCAAGAGTTCCTTTCTGTGCCATTTCTTGGACCACTAGCTCCTGTTCATCTGTTACTGTGAGTCTCAGTTCAGGGATAAGTTACACAGAGGCTTCACTTTGGTGGAAGAAACGTGATCATGTTTTATGTGTGGAATAAATTGTCGTAAATCAGATTTCATTAAGTCACTGACTAGAACTCGAGGATTGATGCTGTTGAGGTGAAACAGTATAACCTTTCGGGTATGACATATGTAATAAATGGGGATTTATGTTTTAGAAAATCATAACATTTATGTCTCTGATGAAAAGTTTGATTCACAGGTGGGGTCTTACTTAACATTTCTATAACCCTCTTCTCTTTTCTTCACACCAGGGGTACCTTTCCCTAAGAACTTCCAGCAGGTGTGCAAGAAGATCCTGAGCCGCCTTTTCAGGGTGTTTGTACACGTTTACATCCATCACTTTGACAGCATCTGCAGCATGGGGGCCGAAGCACACATCAATACCTGCTACAAACACTATTACTACTTCATCTCAGAGTTCAACCTCATCGACCATTCAGAACTGGAGCCACTGGTGAGACAATAGAGTAAACCTCAGATGTGTGTTAGTGAGGACAGGGAGCAGAGGAAATAGGATCAAATGACTGTTTTGTTTTGGGAAGGAGCTCAGTATCACTCTCTTTGTCATTCAAGTGGAAACAGCCCAAATGAACACATATTTTTTTAATAAATGCACACTCAATAAGGTAGCCCACAGTTGGAATAATCGTTGCTTTTTCCAACAGTGAGAGCATCCTGCCCACATGAGCGTGGAGAAAAGAGCTTAAAGTGCCAATAAAAGGCTTCAGTTGTCATTGTAAAACAGGAGTGTAATTTCCCTAACATATTAAAACATGGATGATAAATGTATGTCAACACACATTAAAGATAAATGTAAGCCAACCCTTGTTTTACTGTCAAACCTTAAGTTCCAAAGGATAATCTTTTTGTTGTTGGTCTTATTTGCACAATGACAAGCAATATACTCTAAACTGGAAGTGTAGGTTTACACCGCAAACATACATGTCCTCACACATTTTCTTTTTGTCTAAACATTAACTTTGTTTTCTTTTCCTACAGAAAGAGATGACGGAGAAGATATGCAATTAAACACATGGACAAAGAAGTTTACACTTTGAAATAATCTGAGACCCATTCAAAACACTCCATTCAAAGAACAATGTTTTATAAGGTGGTAGAGGTTTTTGATGCAAAACTTGAACGGTCAACTATACTTCTTCTTGAGTGCACCATCAAAACTTTTTCATACAATAATGATTGTGCTCAATGCTATTTTATTAGTCTGTTAGTTTATAATACTAAGTCTTCTGTACTCATATTTCTTCTTTCTTATTTTGCATGCATGTTCATGTTTGATCATTTTATAAACAGTGTTGAGTCTAATTTTTTTTTGAAAATGTCTGCTTTGTTTGTGATGTCAGCGTTTTATAGTGGCAAGCAAAAAAACAAAAAACGCTGCCATAGAAGGGTCTGTGATTTTTCAAATGTGTTTCCTTTTCTTTTACATAGGACAGGCTATTACAACTCAAAACGCAGCGATAAATCAAGAAGTGACAAGATAATAGTGATGACACTTAGAAGGTATGTGGCTTTAGCACAGCCAAAGCTCCTTCACGAAACTATAAATCAGATATAAATAAAGATCACAATCATGAACAAAAAATATCCAACTACGTGGAGCGGGGCGTGAAGCAATCCAAGTGACGCAGAAGAGTCAGCTGTTTTCTTGACCAATAGGAGGAGAAGCTATGCCAAAAAAAGGGGCGGGGCATATAGCTGTTTATGTGTTTTCCCGCCCTGCGCGTCACTGCCTGTCTGCTCTGAAAGATGGATCTCAGCTAGCAAAGGATTCTTACATCAGCTGTCAGAGGCTCTGACAAAGGGGGTTTTTGCTGGTTTGAACACAGGTTAGAAACTGGTTTTTGTATCTATTTTTTCGTTTCCAGGCCCGGGGACCTTTCTCGACTCAATGTGTAAAGTATTTATAATTTGGACGTGAATAGGTGGGAAAAAGGTAATTTTAGCTCAGTGTTTCTGCTAGCTAGCCGAGGCTAACTTTGATTTGTATAGTCAGCAGTAACTCTGCTAAATACTTTTCCTATCGCTGGCCTCTTCGGAAAGGCATTTTAACTTTTTGTTGCAACACTGCTCATGTCAATGAGGCATATCGTACCGCTGCTGAGCTGGCTATCGATACCCTTTTCTTTCTTTGTGTTATGCTAACCCTTTGATAAGTCAACACTTCCTCTGTGTGCCGAGATATCTGTTAATATCTACAATCACTTTGGGCTTGTATCACACCAGATATCAAGTACAAGCTATGTGCTAATAAACGAATAATTCATGTTACTAAAGCTCACATACCATAACAGACTGGACATGATCCCCTCAGGGGCTTTTCTGTCACTCAGTAGCCGAAACTAGACACATTTGAGACCAGAGAGGGAAACCAGGAACTCACGTATACAATGTAATGGATTAACATCTATGTCTTACCAGCTTGCTTTGTATTGTTCCCTTTATTTATATCTCTGCTGATGCAGTTTATTACAGACTAATGCAGTATTATGCTCTCTCAGGTGGCAGGTATGGTGAGGCACAGCATGATGACTGAGTTACATGCCTTCCAGCACTCTTTCCAGGTAAGGTCCCAGCTGTTTCAACACCTTTCACTTCCTGTACGAGATACAACCAGAAGCTAATTCACCGACTGCACAGCTTATCTACACATTAAATGCAGAAGTTTCATCACTTTCCATGAGTCATGCACTTTTACTGTTTTTTTTGTTAAAAATGTTTCTGGTAATATCCACGACAGAGAGAAAGGGCCTATCATGTTGTTTCCTTTATTCTTATCGGGCCACTGTTTTGGCAGGATGCCAAGATTCATTTATTCTGGTTAGTTTTAGTAGTAACAGTACCATACAATGATGTAACGTAGTTAGCCTGTTTAAAACTGATAAATAAGTGGGAAAGTGGAAGAGTTGTGTATTCCTTCTCATGCTTTCTCCACCACCTGACCAACTTGCAACTCTTGCCCCCCCTTCTCTCTGTTAGGATAACTCCCTGGCTCTGAGCCAAATGGGGAGCTGTGGGGGAATTCAGGATAATGGGGTTACTCTAGAGGAAAGACAACAAACCCTTTCCCAAGCCCCAGCAGGTACAACAGCTTTTGATGTTATGATGCTTCTCTATACGTTAACACAAAGAGTGTACTGTTTTTTTTTTTTAAATCAAATTTGATTGGATTCCTCTGTGCTTTGACAGAAACTGAGAAGAGTCACCCAGTGAACATCCCAGATGCAGCTAAAAGGAAGAAGAAGAAAAGAACCAAAGCGACAGACAGCTCCAAAGGCACCTTTGACGGTACTGCCAGACATGCTGTCTTATAATTATTTTTATAATTATTAATTTATGTCAAAAACACACCTGCGTCAGTTTCATATATCACATTTCTTTCAGATCTCTACAAATTGACAGATGAGGTGCTTGGTCAGGGAGCTTATGCTAAAGTTCAAGGATGCATAAGTCTCCAGAATGGACATGAGTTTGCTGTGAAGGTTAGTAAGGAAGCTTTTCTAGGTGCCATTAAAAGAGTTAATTGGTCTCATGCTGTGCCTAAAGGAGCCCTTTGGCACAGAAAGTTGTAGAAATCATTCATTGAAGGAAAATGTATTTCCATTAATAAGCCCAATTTTTCAAAAACACTTGGACTTAGTATAAGTTGAAGTTTTTAGTAAAAAGAAACACGAAAAAACCTCAGACATCTTGTCTTGGTATAACTTTGTTATTAGTTTGTTCGGCACACTCTCTTCTTTAACAGTGTTTAGTTAAACTCCAGATAAAGTTAATAATCAAAGACAGACAGAATCATGTATAATGTAACACCAGAGAGTTTTTAAATATGAAATCAAATATTTACACAATTCTTTTTGTTTTTACAAAGATCATTGAAAAGAGTGCAGGGCACAGCCGCAGCAGAGTGTTTCGAGAAGTGGAGACTCTCTACCAATGTCAGGGAAACATGTGAGTGCATTTGTATCAGAAAAAATGTAAATTAATTTTAACAAACGCAGATAAAAAAAAGACATTCTAATAATCATGAAATATGTTGACTCAGGAACATTTTGGAGTTGATACAGTTCTTTGAAGACGGCTCCTGCTTCTATTTGGTATTTGAAAAGCTGCGTGGAGGTACGTTAAAATGCATAACTCGACATTAACACAATCATTAAACTGATATTTTTTTGTAGATGAATCCATTTGAACACAGATTGATAGCTCCAGGTGATTGTCTTCTCCTTCAGGCTCCATTCTTACACACATCCAGAACCGAAAGTACTTTGATGAGCTGGAGGCCAGTAAGGTGGTCCGCGACATCGCTCAGGCTCTTGACTTCCTCCACACGAAAGGTAGGTTAACATCCACACAACCAAATGAAAAACTGCTTTTTAAAATTCTGTCAAGGTGACATTGTACATTTCTGCAGGCATTGCCCACAGAGACCTTAAGCTGGAGAACATCCTTTGTGAAGATACCGATCGTGTAAGTGACTTGTAAAGAACACGACGCTTGCAGAAGAACGTTAGTTGTCCCTCGGTATAGATTATAACTATTATATAATGATGTTTTTTTTTTTATCTTTCCCTCAGGTGTCACCAGTTAAGATCTGTGATTTTGACTTGGGAAGTGGAGTGAAGCTCAGCAGTGCCTGTACACCCATAACAACTCCGGAGCTCACCACACCGGTACCAGATTGATTCAACATTCATACCACAAACAAGCTCTTTAAAGCAGCTAACCGGACTCTTCATGTGTGCTCTGTGTTTTTGCCCTCTTTCAGTGTGGCTCTGCAGAGTACATGGCTCCAGAAGTAGTTGAAGTGTTCACTGATGAGGCGTCTTTCTACGACAAGCGCTGCGACCTTTGGAGCCTCGGGGTCATCCTCTACATCCTGCTGAGCGGCAGCCCCCCCTTCACGGGTCACTGTGGCACCGACTGTGGCTGGGACCGAGGAGAGACCTGCAGATCTTGCCAGGTATGTTCATCCAATCGACGTCTGCATTCACTCACTGCCCATTTCTGATTGTGAATGATCAATTTCTAAAAGTTAGAGAAATAATTGACAACATAAAAAAGGTTTTGAATTGGATCTTACAGTGGGATGTAATATCTTTTATGACTTAAAGTGGATTATTTCCTATCTGGGTTTGGCTGATTGATGAGTCCATTTCCAATGGTTTACAGTCATTGACTACATAACCCATCACCATCATGAAATAGCCTGCCTTTTTTCTTACTGCACACTGACCAAAGGGGTATTTGGCTTTTGTTTCCTGTAATGCACATTTTACATAATTGCACATCTTTATAATTATCTGTGTTTATATAACAACATATTTTCAGGAAGTCGCAGAAAGTGAAAGTGTCCTGCTTTTGTTCAGTTATCAAATCCCAGAACACAAAGCGTCTCAGTCAGCAGATAAGCAGGTTGTAAAGTGAAGTTACAACTGGCTGGTTCAGAATTAATTTGCTTGTCTTCAGTTATCACTAGAGCAACAATAGACTGAAGTCGCACTGCCCTGCCTCACGCTGACTGGTGTCATAGTGCACCCTATTTAAGTGCACCTTTACCTTCTTAATTTTGATAAAACGACCACAAGTCATGAAAACCTCATTTTGAGACATCCATGCTGCACCTGCATCACGTCGTGCACAGTGACACAACAAAGAAGACAGAACCACAGATTTGCACATAGAGTAGATATTGGTATGATTATGAGGGGCTATAAATGTTGCTTGTGTGCAAGAGGCAGACAGACTTAGTTTATTGTAATCATAGTATATGTGCCTTCTAGCTTGTTCTTATCTCATTTTAACTATAATCTCGAAGCCACCTTTTTTCCTTAGAGCCCCCCCCCCACTTTCGTCTAATAAAAGCTGAGCAAGGGAACCCACATGATAAAAGGTTATACACTGCTTTCAAAACTGAACATACATTTGAATAGTTTTCATTGATAAAATCACATTACAATATGCCTACACGCTTCTTCTTATTAAGAGATCTTTGTATACATTTCACAGTAATGTTTTAACATAATTATTATTATTTTTCTTAAGATTTTTTTTGGGCTTTTAATGGAGAGATAGGACAGTGGATAGAGCTAGAAATCAGGGAGAGAGAGTAGGGAATGACATGCGGGAAAGGAGCCACAGGCTGGATTCGAACCCTGGCTGCCCGCTTTGAGGACTATAGCCTCCATACATGGGGCGCGCGTACTAACCACTGCGCCACCAGCCCCCCATTTTAACATGATTTTATTGAATATCTAGAAATCTAATTTTGACAACCTAACGGCGCCTCACACCCCCCCATAGGTGCGCCTGCAACCTAAGGTGGGAACCAACGCTTTAAACCATGATAAGGAGAAAAATAATGTGCGTGGCTGTGTCGCTTAACTTGGACGTGACTACACTTGTAATTCTGGCATGAATTGTTTACTTATTTTGTCCCATTATTATGACTAGTTTGTGATGTCACTTCACCAGGTGATAATGTTGGGGCTCCAGAGACCCTGGAGGAACAGCATGCAGTCATCAGTAGATTCATTAATGTGCTTCTTGCTGTGAACCTCACAGTCAGGTTCTCATGCTTTTGTCCTCCTCTGTCCTCAGAGCAACCTATTTGAGAGCATCCAGCAGGGCAAGTATGAGTTTCCGGATAAGGACTGGAATCACATCACAGAGGGGGCCAAGGACCTCATATCCAAGCTGTTAGTCCGAGATGCAACTCTGCGCCTCAGTGCTGCTCAGGTTCTCAAGCACCCTTGGGTGCAGGGGGTGGGTATGATTAAATCTGTGTGCAACAGAGAGACATTCTAGAGCTTGGTGTGCTAATATTGTCTGAGAGAAAAAAACACTGCGTCACCCATTTTTCATTTATTATTTGTAATTTTCCATTATTATGATATTTTTTACAGAATGCTCCAGAGAGAGGGCTTCCAACTCCTCATGTTCTACAGAGGTATGACACCCACATTACAAAGTCAAGTCTTGTGTTTCTGATGATGTTTTCAAAGTTCTAGACATCGACTTCACCTTAGCAGGCCAACAGGGGCATGTACGGCTGCCAAAGTGTATTTGCTGGCCATTGACTCTAAAAACATTAGAGCCACTGTTAGAGGTGTCTGCGAGGTTCCCCTTAGATGATCCACGTTTGGTCAAAATGTTCAAAGTGAGAACATAGTGCTCCAGCTTTGACACTTTCCAGGGTCATCAGAAGTTGTGGCTCATAAGAAACCAGATCTGTGACCATGTATAACCATCTATTTTTAACTATGCCTACAAACATCTATGCAGCTAACTCCAGTGCAATACCGCGTACATAAATACATCTATGTATGCTAACCCTGTGTATGACCATAATCGTCTGTATGCACACTCAATAGTCTATGTGCTATTACACCAGAGTTACAAGCTCTAGAGTTAATGCACAATGTATATCAGTACCTCATAACCATGTGCCATACTCCAGCCCTTCACATCCTGTAGCAGCACTTCAACTCTGAAGGTCACTTTATCCTGGTGTGTTTTGAACAACATCGCACACACACTTTTCATGCTTGTATAAACTGCATTTGTATAAGTGTGTACCATGTGTAGAGAAGATTTCCGTTGAAGATCGATAAAGAAGTGGACAATCTGTACGGTCTCTGTACCTGTTGTTTAAGTGTCGTGAGAGAGATATGTCCTACACCCCTCCTGTTTATGCTTATCGATTGTAGAGCAGCATTTAATCATTTTGTGCAGCTGGTTGCTGCCGATGTTATTACTCACTCTTAGCTTTTCTACTTCATTAATAACAGGCAAGGCTGTTGTGTGGTCAAAATGCGAGTGAACCTTGACACGAGAGATGTATTATTTGACACTACAAAAATTACTGCAGATTTATTTATTTGAGTGAGTCAAAGGAGTAGTCACTGTGTTGTGTGTTTGTGTGTCTGTGAGTGTGTGTGAGGACTGAAGGTGAGTGAATTTATGTAATTTGTTAAAAAAAACTATAAAACAGTTGGAGACAAAAGCACAGTAAACTCTTCATATAACCTAAGCTGATATAAATAGGGTAATGTTATTCTTGAAACATTTACAATAGAGAACACCCCTTCACCCTCAACCCTGTTGCTATGGTCACAAATTTGCCATAATTCTGTGCGGGAATCTTGCTTCAAAATGCTCTCACCAGGAAGTGAATTAAGATCAGAGCAAAAAACTGAGAGGAGGCAAGAAGTACAGAATGGGTCAGAAAAATGTGTAAATTGCACCCATGGGTGAAAAGCTGTCTCTTAAATCCTCCTCTGCCTCCTCTCTTCTTCCAGGAACAGCAGCACCAAAGACCTCACTCAGTTTGCAGCAGACGCCATCGCCTTTAACCGGCAGCTCTCTCAGCACGACGAGCAGCAGGAGGATGTCGGGGCCATCGTTTGCTCCATGAGGCTTTCTCCTCCTTCCAACTCCAGACTAGCCCGAAGGCGAGCGCAGTCCAATGCCCTGCGCAGCCAGGACTTCGCACCTGCATCGGACAACCTTGCTGGCTGATGGATCAGTACAAGTCCCCCTTGTCGTTTGTTTTTGTTTTTTTGGATTGATTTTAGCCTCTGCCTCCTCCTTGTGTTTTTATTCTTTTGTTTTACCAGGGAGCCTCGTTGGATCAGCCGCACAGTATCACAAGCAACTACAAGTTCTTGGTGTTGAAGCTCTCGTTCATGGCCAGTAATCTTATCACCTAGACAGAGTTTAAGCACCAAGAAGCCAGGGAATTCTTGGCTATCAACTTTTTAATTACAAAAAATAGTTGAGACTCCTGAGGTTCTTCCAGGAATTATTTAAAACTTCCTGAATTTTTTTAAGTTAACTGTTTTATGTAAGAAGTGCTTTGAGTTTACTTTTCCAATGGTCTTCGTGGATGCGTTTATAGCTATTACTGCTAAATAATGCCTAATTTTACAGTGAGCCCAACACAGCAGAAGCAGCTCTTAATGCCACGTATCTGTCTGTACATATCATAATGAACTCGGCATTACATACTGTAGGTACAGCTCAGTTTTGCAGCTGTTGCTGACCTAATGCAATATCATCTAATTATAACAGATTTTATTTTTCTTGTCATCCAACTGTTGTTTAATTAATATTTTATTGGAATACTACTACTGATGCTTCTCAGTCACTTGAGAAAAGGGAGGAGATTTCTTCTATTTTTGCTTTTTTAAAGCATGCCAGCTTGTTAGATCTGATACAAAGGATAAACAGACATTTTACTTCACTTTAAGGAAACTTTTCCTCCATTTTCCTCCATGAGTTCTTCTCAAAACTTTATTGAATTCAAAGAGAGTGCAGGATTGTGAATAGATGTGGAAGTTAGAGAGGGGCCTTTGATCAAACTCTTCTTTTGATTCTCGTCATTTCACCTAAACACAAGCTACCTGTAGCACTGATGTACTTTAAAGTTGACCACTAATTTGGTTCAACTGAAATTGAATACATTAAGTTGTTAAAGATCACTTTGGTCCAACAATGTGAATCCTACACTTGTACTATTTCTTTTTAAACTATTATCCTCATGAGAGTCCAACATTACCTCAGACTCGTTTTGCACATTTTGTACTGATGTGAAAGGTAACACCCCCCCCCCCCCCAAAAAAAACTGCTTAGTTTCTTGAAGTCTTATTGATTTGATATTGCAGAGTGTTGTGTGATTGACCTACAGTGTACAAGTTACATTTGTCATGGTCGTAAGAATGAGACTTGAAGGGGGATTGTGGGTAGCTGCTGTACAATACGATTGAGGAAACCATACTGGTGTTGAAGGGATTTATTTTTATACAAGTATTAGTATGTTGTGAAGTTTTGTCTTTTTGATTCTGAATGTTCCAGTAGAAGAAAATTGGACTAACCAGGCGTAGAAGTCTTTCTCAAAGATTTTCTTTGGTTAAAGTTTTTTTTGCAATTTTTGATCTTATTTTTAAAAATAATTAAATATTTTTTTACTTTTTTTATTTGTTGCATTCATTTATGATCCTGTCTATGTTGGAGCGGGGCAACTGATGGCAACATATCACTTTTATTTCCCCTGACCCTGTTAACTTTATGTGTTGGCTGCTAAATTACATGCCCCTGATTTTACACTGTTGCCATGGACACCCCATCCCTATAGCAACTAAGGTCCGTCATGATCCGCTGGCAGGGATCGGATCTGCTCGGAGTGAATAAACAACAACCACTTGCTATGTTAAAGCCCTCTAGCTCCCATTATGAACCATCAAAGCACCGTTAACCTGTAATGGCATCAGATGAGATGCAGTCAGTGTGCAATTATGGAGTCCCATTGAAATGTGTCAAAGCTCTTCTGGGGTCTTATGAGTGAAGCTCCCAGTGAAAAGCATATTTCCACTTGTCTGCTGTGTTCTCATTAAAAAGATCCTTAACATCTCCTGTTGTTCATCTTTGTTGCATCATTTAAACTGCTCGCTTCATCTTTCAGTGCAATATCTCTTTCAGGAGTCAGCAATAGTAATACATTGGTTTACTTTTAATCAAGTGAACGTGTTGCAGTTCTGAAGCATTATGAACAGTCTTGTATTGGATGCATGGACAGGAAGCTCTTGTATACCTAAACACACACTGATGCTGAGTCCTTGAGATGTGTTTGAAAGCAGAGAAGGATTATGGTTATCCAACAATTTATTACATATTACCTGATCCTATAAGACCCTGAAAACCTAAGAAAAAGGAATAAAAGGCATTGATCATATCAAAAACCCAACTACACTGTCATTTGATGCATGTGTAATAATACCATTAACTTACAGTGCAATACAATACAATTTGAAACTTAAAAACACTTTAGTAAATGTACAAAACTACAAATGCACTGCACAACAACTGCGATGGAGTAACTGCTCTTGGACTGTTTATTATTTGGGCACCATGTTTTTGTTTTTTTGTCGTTTCTTTGCTTTTTGTTGTTGTGTTAAACTATCATTGTTCCTTAAAGGGATAAAGGTTTGTCTTTTATCATTTCTCAGTAATCGTTCGTATTAAATACATTTAAGTAAATGATAGGTGAACACACTCAAAGCTTCATTACTTTATTGCGCCCAATTTGATTAGCCTCTTTCAGAGCACTTTAGCGCCCCTAGTGGTCCATCTAAATCTAAATCTGCGAGCAGCAGCGGAGTGTCTGCAGTTCAGTGTCACCTGCTGCAGAGAGAGAGAGACCGACTCCTGCTCGGTAATCCTGAACCCCATGGACGGACGAAAAACGCCCAAACCTGGATTATGGTTCTGATCTAAGGTAAATGAAACTGAGAATAAGGAGAAATGTTGTTGCTTTTAAGTTATTTCCAGGAAATCATGTGGTTTTTGGATGAGTGTGTTTTGCAAGAGTCGCCTATGATTGTTTAATGACAGTTCTGTTACCGGGAGATAGTTGGATTTGTATTGCTATTGCCACATGCATTAAATATGTTACGTTATTTACTTTTTCTTGAAACTGCACCATTGCTAAAACAAAACTGTGGAGACTTTTTTTTTGAGTTGCCCTATTTGTTCAGAATGCAAAGTTTAGTAAATGTCCGTGAAATATTTTGCGTCTATTAAAACTGCAAAGAAACCTTTGCTCATACTCTTCAGCACTCTTCTTTCATCTCCCTTTTTTCTCTCTCTAAAAGATGAATTTAGTCAGAGACCCATCAGTAATTTTTCTTCACCCTCTCTGGGTCTCACAGATTTCTCCATAAGACATGGTGCTACCTGACAAAACCTCCAGACCGTCTGCTCTCAAGAAGGTCCCCCATCAGCCCACCAAGCCCCGTCACCCAAGCCTGCCCTCCCCGGCACTTGCTGCGCGTGCGGACTCTGCATCATGCTTGCTGGCATCAACATCACCCTGGTGGGAGCTTTCGCCTTTGGCACCTTCATCCCTTCTGGTAACCCTCCCATCATCATCGGTCCTCTCCTCTTACTGATAGCCCTGGCCTTTTTCACAGCCTGCTGCGTGGTCAGCAGGAGGCCGCCCACCCACACTGGGTGCCGTAAGGCTAGAGGAGGAGAGAAGTGGGGGCTCGTGCGGATGGGGACAGCAGCATTTGAGATGGAGGCAAGCGAGCACACCCTGCAGGACACTACGGCTGTTCAGCTCAGCCCCACCAACTCCCCCACTTCATCCCACAAGTCCTCTTCCAGCCATGTGGGCAACACTGCTCCACCCGGGTGTCAGGATAGAGCTGGGCTGATGCTTCCATCAGAGGCGGCTGTCATGGGTGTCGCTGGAGATAACCCCACTTCCACACAGATGCTGCCCACTCAGAGCACTTACTGAACACATTAAGGACATACTTCCTCAACCAGGCTGTTTTATGTGTGTGTTTTTATTTGCTGCTTTTGGGTGGAAATGTGTTGTATAAAAAACCTATCTGATTGTTGCTTAGTTGGTGATTTCTGTCGCTGAATCTTTATTGCTCAGCAGGATGTTTTTTATTCATCCAGAACAGAAACAGGAGCAGATGATACCTTAATCTAAGTGCCTGTTTGTATACTGCTTGTTGTATAAAACAGAATATCCTGCATTCATGTTCTCCTGTGTATCCACTGTGGTTAGTGCCTGTCACCTTATACATCGGTGAAAAGAAGATGAGTGTGTCCATCGAGCTTCTCTGAGTCATGAAAGCTGTTCCTGTGTAAGACTGGTAAAATCACACACACTTTTTCACACACGTTTTTTTTAAATGCTTGCAGCAAAAAATTAGTCAAGATGAATATTGAGGAACAAATAAGTAAATGTGCATATTATAGTGTCATTTTTATATTTTTCTGCAGCAGATATTACTTGCTTTGGGCACATAAAGTTGATATTTCCTTTGAGAGTTATTTGGTGTTTCTGTTAAAAAAAAGCATTCAATTCTAATGCTGATTTTATGATGAGGTTAAAAAAAAATATGACTGAACAAAATGAGTCATTTTGTGGGACATGCTTGGGAAATAAAAAGCCATAAAAAGACACAATGGCACACATGTCATAAGAAAGGCACACATGTTGTGAAGATAGCCCATTCGTTATCGGAGAAACAGATGCCTGTTTACTCACCGTTATACATCTGCCGTCCACAAACACAGCAAGACACACACTGTGATCCTGCACAGGACTCTCAAAGAGAGATAACAGAGCAGCCACTGTTATTACAGTCTAGTTTGTTTGGGGAGTGTGTTTGGTGTCTGTATTCATCCATGGAGTCAGGAATAAGAATGCCAGTGTTTGTTTTAACAGGCGAACAAATGCTGACGACCTGCATTCAATTCAATAAACTAGAGATTAGGTCATGATGCTCTAAAGAAGAAACTGCAGAGCTCCAGCGTTAACATTTTTTTTTTTTTTACAATGTATTAAGCTGTAATAAAAGAAAATTTCCTTCCACTTTGAGCCTTAATCAAACTTAAAAACGTACATAATAGAGGCGAGGAGTTAAATCAAGATTGTAGTTCAGGCCTTCATGGTTCTGCTGTTTGCTCATTATACATTTACAGAATAGTTCTTGATTCATTAATCCAGTATTCTGTATTTATAGTATTTACAGATAAACATTCTGTGAGAAAGGATGTATTGTTTGTCGATGATAAAGTTGATCAATGTAGGCCTGTTAAAATCTTCCCTCTTAATATTGTTGTTATTGTGAACTGGGATCACTGCATCTCTACTGGTCTTGTTTTCTGTCAGCATGTCTTTACAGCGTGGCACACAAGCCTGCAAGAGGACAGAGGACTTGGTCATAAGGTACACCCTAAGACCCTTAGGAGGAATCACCACAGGCTGGGGACAGCTGTTTGTAGCGAGAGATTACAACCTCCATTAAATGAGAAGTTCTGAGTTTGGCACCCACGTGAAGAAAAAGGTACTGCAACAAATTAGATTAAAATATAGGAATACACCACGAGTGATATAAGAAGTAAAATGCTGAAAATGTACACAGGCAAGTAAAGGTACAGCATGACTACCAGAGAATAAAGCATTCTTCCACTTGTGCTTGAAGAGAATACAATGTTGACTAGAATATTCATTTTCCACACACTGAGAAACATCCATCCTTCCTTCTCTCCAACAACAAAACACATACTGCTGTGTCAAAATCAGACTGAGGGTCGGCAAAGCAAAACCAAAAGGAGTCATAAAAGAAACACTGTTGGTGTGTTGCCAGTTTTTCATTGAATCAGATATTGTGAGTGTGTGTGACAGCTTCGTTTTGACAATCTGATATAATTATTTATATTTCTGTAAGGGAAAACTGTCTTTGCTCATTTATGAATACATATAATAGCTGTAATTACTGATGTCACTTTCATTTTCATTCCACCTCACTTATTAAAGTAATGATATGTGTTTTTTATAATAATGACAGTGGGCCTGAGGGTTCATAATCACATATGATTCATTGGGAGCTGAATGACTCACAAATGGCTGTGCCTGTGACTTTTTATGAAAATAGTTCCTATTAGTGGAGAGGAACGTTATCAGTGAATAGGAAAAAAGTGTGTGTGTGTGTGTGTGTGTGTGTGTGTGTGTGTGTGTGTGGGTGTGTGGGGGGGGGGGGGTAGTGGTAGTTCAATAGGCTAAATGACACACAGTAACTCAAAGACAATATTGGGTATAGACAATACCCAAAAATGTGGCGCTGTTGGACAGAGCTCAAGCTACATCTACTCTTGTGACTACAACATGTGGAAGGACAATAGGCCTAAATCTTCATGACGAGCAAGATGGAAATGAAGGAAACATTTAGCTTAGCCTACTAATTATTCATCTGGTAGCTTAGAGATCAACACATTTACAGTATGTCAACGAAAAATAGCTAGGATGTTAGTTTTTTAAGGCTTTAGTTCTTTAATTATGTTTAATTATGTTATAATATGTATAATACGTACTTAAATATGTACTTCCAAAGGCCGTTTTTCCAGATTACTTTTAATTTCAAATTCATGTTTGCACTGTGTTACTTTGCCGAGTTCTGCCACCAGGGGGCAGTATCGCCTTTCATACAGTTTTCAAGTCAGGTGAAGACGGTCGAAATCATAATTCGAGCACTACTGGATTTGTTTCGAGTTTCTCTTGGGGTTTCATATTTTGTTAAGTAGCCTAATGTTTTTTTAAATATGTTTTATTCCAATGGGGTTACAATTTTACCCTTTTACCCCAGGAAATACCGCCAATAGGCTCTTTTTAGTCTCAAGTTGAACGATTTAACAGAGACTATAATTAGTCAGCTATAAGAAGACTTTGCAAAAACTAATGATAACATTATGGGAGTAATATTGTTTAGTTTTGATTGAAACCTGCATGTTTTCTGTTTGGAGAGTTGATGTGAGTTTAGGCTGCAGTTTGTGCTGCTTAGAGACAATGAGAGATGCTTTTAATTGCCAATTCTATCTACCCTTACATGTCTCATTGTATTGGACAAAATGTCAGAAACAAAAAGTGCTCTGAGAATAATTGTGGGACTGTTGTGTTAGAAACAATGTGTCGCCTACTTATTAGCCAGACAGTGAAAGTGTACATTCAAAGTCCCCCCCCAAAGTCAAAATGTGTGTTTTTTTAAGTTATTTTTCGTTGCTGCACAGTAGGCTACTTGATGAGTTACACAGGTGAAACCGTTGTTTTAAATATAGTATGCCCTTTACAGAGAATTCGAAAATATGATTAAGTAAATATTTAAAATGCACATGTTGTTGCATTTATATATGCTGGTATAAGGATAAGATGTAATAAATCAGTGAACTCAGTCAGTCTTAGTCAGTGAATTTTATTTGTGAGAAAAATAAATCACACATTTTTTTAAGGTTAAATATTTGTTTTATTCATCTTCAAAAAGTGACAGCAACAAGCCCATGGGTAAATTTGCATACAAAATTATAAAATGATAAATTAATTAATTCTAATCACTACTGAGTTTACCCAATAATTACTTCTTTTTTTTTTTTTTTACAAACTTTTACTCACTTAATTTATCCACTTTATCAACAGATGTACCATGAAGTTTTAATTTTTCCTAATGTTACATGATTCACATTTAAAAAGAGCAGTGCAGGCTCAATTTCTTTCTTTTTTTTTTTTTTTAATTAATAGCTTGAATTGATTTGTACCTTTCCTCTTCCCATGTGTTTTCTTCTGAATGCTTCATGGCCTCTATCTGCAGTGCGCCGTCCTTGGGCCTCCCCCCCTGCCTGCAGCTCGATATGTTTCAGACGGGTTGCAGTGATCCTCCGGCCGCCCTGAACCTCAGCCAGGACGTCTCTTAAAAATACATTTCCCACAGGTAAATCACTACACTCCCAGAGAACCACACGATAGAACAATAGCAAGGTTACAGTGTCTTTGACCTCCTCTGTGAATATAACCATCAGAAGGTGAGTGACCCCTTGTGTTTCATGCATGTTGAACTTACTATACACAGGCTTGTATACAGTTTGTTCTGTCATCTTTCGTATAAGCCATTTGTCTTTCTGTCTCACCTCCGTTGTGGGGCAGAGCAGCTGGTTAATATACCCCCCTCTTGAAATGAAATGCCATTAATTTGATCCTTCTTCGCAGTTTGCAAAGTATCCCTCTAAACAGCAGCAGGCTTGATCTAATTCCTAATGACTGTTGTGAGTGCTGACTCTGCTATTGTAAAACAAATGATATCTCTGTCCTGTTGGAATAATCCTAATCTATTTCAATGGAGCCGCATTAAAGTGAAAAAAGGGGGAGTATATTTGCATCTTGTGATAAATGTGCAAATGTCCGCCAAAGCTGAATCAGACACCACATTTTAATAGCCTGATTGCTGGTTCATTTCTCGCCTCATTCTCTAGCAGCCCTGCTCCCTCCCTTTTAATGCCGAGCTGGTCATATTTTGTCCCAGATTAGTATAGACGCCGGCTGACAGTTGCCTCTGCTCAAGGTATTTAGAAGACATAATTCATTCATAGATCTAGAAGTGCTCCCATTTGTCATCCCCATTTTTTATGCTCAGTCTCTCCACAGTCGCTCATTCCTCTGGGTGTTGGTGTGTGTATGTGTGTGTGTGTGTGTGTGTATGTGTGGGTGTGTGTGGGTGTGTGTGTGTCAAGGGAGATGAAGGCCAGGGCAGTTTTCAGCTGATGTATTAGCTGGCATATGCAAGCAATGAATTATCAAGGAGGGAAAGGAGTCAATTATCCACTCCTAAAGAGGGGCCAGGGCCTGTGTGGCCTAGGGGCCCCTTTCCATATTTACCCAATCATTTCAAAGAAAGGTACACACTGGGAGATCGGTGGACGAGACAGTTATCAGACAGCACACACACTCATGCAGAAACACACACACAATCAGATTCGACCCTCTTTGGCTCACCTTGCCCACTCTCATCACTTACCTCCCTGCACATGCCCAGTGCGTCCTCCTCGGTTAATAAGGACAGGTGGTGACATTTCGTGTCTGTATGTTTAAACGAATCCATTTTTACCAACTTCTAAAACTGATTTAGGCTGAGCCGGAATAGCCACGCCGTGACCGCCAGCCATTTTGCTGTGTCTCACTTCTCTCCCCTGACTCCCCTACGAATCAAAATGGGGCCCTGATTGACTGTGCCGCTCTGACTAATAGAGTGGATATGGTAAATGAAATACCCGGCACTTTCATTCCAAAGTGTCTTACCCCCTGTGTCCCCGCTCACTTTGCCTTGACATATTTTCAGAGATTGAGCGTTTCTATCCTGTTTCTGATGAGGACGAGGTGAACGTGACGGCGGCGGTGGCTTTGATGCCTCAGAGCAGCCGGGACCCTCCGACGGAGGCGGCCAAGCTGACAGGGCCCTCTGGTGACTGACAGGGCTGACACTTAGGGAAATGAGGTCGTTAGA